GCATGGCCGCGCCACTAACGAAGGTGTCAGCCTGGGGCCGTGATGGAGGGTCCCACAAATACGCCAGGAACTTTGACAAAGGTCGTGCCTGGATAAAGCCTGTTCATGGATAAACGTAGATGCGAGGCTGGTAGACTCTCGTGCTTGTCGAGGACCGCCTCACCTTCGGGTTGGACATCCTCCGAGGAGATGCTGAGTGCCTCCCGTTGCCCTTCTTGGATGGATCTAGCACCACAGAGAAGAAAGTGTCCCTGCACTGGGTTTGAGTGTCCCTGAGGCTGAAATAAGGTACTTAACCCCTCCTCTTTTTATTTATTTATTTCTTTTTTTTGAGACAGGGTCTGTCTATGCAGTTCAGGCTGGCCTTGAGCTCACTTTTTAAGCCCAGGCTGGTCTTGAACTTGTGACAATCCTCCTGTCTCAGCCTCCCGAGTGCTGGGATTATAAGTGTGAGCTACCACACCAGGCTACATGTGTCTGAAGTTGAGATCTGCCGCCCATCCATACTGCTGCTTTCTTAGAGGTGAAGGAAGCACAAATTTGTAGGGAAAAAGAACAGGTCCTGAGCCTAGATTTACAGGCTTATTGTCTATAAGATGTTTAGGTTTTTTGGTGTTTTTTGTTTGTTTGTTTGGTTGGGTTTTTTTGGTCTTTTTGAGATAGGGTCTCACTCTAAAGTTCTGGCTGGCCTTGAGCTCACTTTTTTAAGCCCAGGCTGCTCTTCAATTTGTGACAATCCTCCTGTCTCAGCCTCCCGAGTGCTGGGATTATAAGTGTGAGCTACCACACCAGGCTACATGTGTTTGAAGTTGAGATCTGCCGCCCATCCAAGGTGCAGGCTTTCCTGGAGGTGAAGGAAGCACAAATTTGTAAGGAAAAAGAACAGGTCCTGTGCCTAGATTTACAGGCTTATTGTCTATAAGATGTTTAGGTTTTTTGGTGTTTTTTGTTTGTTTGGTTGGTTAGTTTTTTGTTTTTTTTTTTTGTCTTTTTGAGATAGGGTCTCACTCTGCAGTTCTGGCTGGCCTTGAGCTCACTTTGTGAGCTAGGCTGGTCTCAAACTCGCAAGGATCCTCCTGCCTCAGCCTCCCGAGTGCTGGGATTACAGGTGCCCACCACCACACCTGGTGAGGCAGGATTTTTTTTAAAGTGAGTTTCCTGGAAGGACTTGGTCTGTCTCAAATGGAAGAGACAGACCTTGGCTTCTGGCTTCTGGCTGAGCCCTTGCTGGGCCACATGGCTGCCTGCGGTCTTTTTTTTTTAAGTGAGTTTCCTAGAAGAGCAAAAGGCTTGGTAACTTGTGTCTCTTTTTTTTTTTTTTTTGGTAACGGGAGTAACTTGTGTCTTAAAGCTGCAGGTAAGTACAATTTTAAAATCCTGATTTCCTTGTCTCCTTTCTACCAGTTTTTATTTCTCCTATCCTATCTCAAAAGGACTCTGGAAGACCACAGAGCGGCGGCCTGAGTAGCACAGCATCAGGGAGGGGCGCCAAGGCCCTGGGGTGCGTCCTGGTCCACCTGGCTTCAGGGCAAAAGGCATCAGCCCTGGGGACAGGGAGCTGGAGGTGCAAAGGGTGTTGCGTAAGGTAGCTTGTTGCAAGACATCATTCCTTCTATTCTTTTTTCCCCTTGTCCTTTCCTTCCTCCCCCCACCCCCACTTCCCTTTTCCCTTCTCATTTGTTTTTTTTTTTTTTTTTTTTTT